ATTAATGTTATGTTTGAGGTTAGTAACATTGATGTGAGAAATAAGTAGCATGCTTGCTTGGGGTAATGTTAGTTCACCAACAGCTATCTAGCTAGCCAGCTAGCTTAGCCTTATGTAATGATTTATAATGGCTCTCTAGCCCGTGGAAAAGCAAACTGGTTCCACCAGCCCAGAACTAGCACTAGGTTTAAGTTTGTGGAATATGGGTACAAGTTCTTGTAGTGCATACACTAAGATAACTTTGAGTTCAGTAGCATTTTAAGAAATTTATTAAATTTTATAAAAGTGTTACTAAAATGTTACTACATTTAGCCTAGTAAGATTGCCATCAAGACTAACCATGCACAGCACAATATTAAAGATAAATAACACTATTATCAGCTGCTTACACTCATGGGAGCAGCCCTTTACGTTTGCCAGCCACTGGCTCACTCCAAACTCATTGGCATTGGAAGCCAGCTGTCCATTGGGCAGCATAAGGTCATCAGCAGGATCATCATTAAAGTTTCCACAGAGACCACAGGTTGTATTTTGATAACTAGATGCCAGCTCCACCCTCACTGCACTCGCGAAGTCAAAGGAGACCTTAAACAGTGTTTAATATAAAAGAGAACTTCTATAAATGTGTAAAGGTTCAAGGTGAAACATATTAGCAGTATTTAAGGGCAAAAACACATCACTGACAGACACTGGATAGTAGTCTAGTATAGTCTCAGACCATGTGTACGAATTAAATGATAAAAGCCCAGCTGTCTGGGCACATAATATCACAAGCTTCAATAGACAACAGTATTTTAAACTTTTATTTTCTAAGTGATAAAACACAGACCCCGCTCCCGTCCCACTAGCCACATCTACAAACATATACATATACATATACATATACATACATACATACATACATATTTCATATGGAGTATTGTTCCTGGAGTATTGTAGGAAACTGCTGGAAGTCAGGTATTAAATTGCAAGATAAGTAAATAATAATAAAAAAAATAGATTAATTAAAAAACAGAATGAATAGATAAATAAATAAAGATAGATAAGTAGAAGAAAGCGAATTTATACACTGACTGACACAGACTATGTAACTGACCGAGAGACAAGCAAAGAACAGAGGAAAGGAAAATACTTCAATTTGACTGGAGATTCTCAAAGTTTTTCAGAAAAGTAAATGGTAAATGGTAAATNNNTGTATAGCCTTTCTAGTCTTCCGATTACTCAAAGCTCTTTGGTAGCTGTTACATTAAGCTAGCTTCAAATTATTGTTTAAGTTAAACTGTCAAACAAGCTAGCATGTATTGAAATCTCTCAGCAAAATCCATGCCAACCTTGAAACTGCACAGCTCCCATACATAATTCAATTCAATTCAATTCAATTTTATTTGTATAGCGCCAATTCTTGGCACTACTTTTCAAATAGAGCAGGTGCTAGACCTGAACTCCTTTTTAACATTAACAGAGACCCAACACAGTACCAGCCATGAAGGCCACTTGGCGACGGGGGAAGGAAAAACTGCGCTTTTAAGAAGCAGAAACCTAGGACAGACCCGCCTCTAGGTGGGTTGGTCGTCGTCTTGACCAGTTGGGGAAAGAGAAAAGAGAAGGACGGGGGGAAGAGAAAAAGAGAGAGAGAGAGAGAGAGAGAGAGAGAGAAACAGAGAGAGAGAAACAGAGAGAGACAGACAGATGTACAGCAACAACAGTAGCAACAACTACATTAATAGTAATGATCGATGACGATGACAGCAGCAACGATGGGGGACAGCGAGCAGCGACAACAGTAACTGTAGTAATAATAATTCTTAATAATAACTAATAATATCAAATTAACAATAACAAATCTCAATTTGATCCCTGGTCTTGAAGGTAGGGTCAGTCATCCTGAATAAAGATAATTGATCATTGAGTATCATTCCCAGGTCGTCAAAGGCTGACTTTGGGTTGGTGGCTTAAAGATTGATTATTAAGTAGAGATATTTGACAATGTGGCAGCACCTGTTTGGTGGTATGGCTCGCTCTGACCCACTCACTTTGTTTCTTTCCTGCTTACCATAACCGAAAGCGACGACCTGGGAATGACACTCCAGAACAACTGAGCCCACCTTTAATACTAGAAGTGTTGCTGGAGTTTTTACCCTTTATCATCATTTGTAAACTGTCAGCCCCTTTTGTACACTCATTGTAGTCAGGCGTGTACAACAGGAGCTTATGCAACTATTTGGAGGCAATTATGTGACCTGTAAAAAGTCAGAGACTTTTCTCAGATTCAAAGTCCATTTTAAATACACTCTGTTAAAAAAATATGTACTTGGATATAATCAAGTTAAGGTTAAGACCAAGGTTAGTGCCAAAGATAAGGAATGTAGTTGGGTTGCATGCACCTAAATTATGGTATACTGTATATGTGGATGTGTGTGTTTATACCTTAAGAAATTCTGTCTCAAGGACAGCCAGTCTGTGTCTGTGATAAACCTGGACCAGTGATTGATTGGATGAGAATGGTAGAGATTTTTCAAGCCCATCTACCTACAGACAATACACACACACACACACACACACACACAGAGAGAGGCAGCAAACATATATATAAATCACTGTCACAGTCATTGTAAATATGTTGTGCACAATAATTGTATTTTAATTCCAGGGTGCTCAGGTAGTCATAATGTTATGGCTGAATGGTGTATGTCTCCTCTACACTTCAATTAGCATACAGTAATGAAACCCATAGTGTTGTGTAAAGGACATGCCCTTTCCAGTGATATCTCATTTGTGATCCACATTTTCAATTCAATTCAATTCAATTCATGGATGAATGCAAATGAAGCATGAGCATATACAAGGACACGCACCAACATAAATGTGCTTGGTAGTGGGCTGACTCTTTTCACACTCATAGTATGTGTGTGTGCATTTGTATTTATGCATGTTTCTCACCAGTACTTTGCCTGGATAGTCCAGTGAAAGTGTGTAGGTGTTGCCATAGACTTTAACAGTCACCACTTTAGCGTATGACACTCTTTTGTTGCCACGGTTGTTATTTTCCAGGTTCACCTACAATTCACCAAAAACAGAGTAGAGACAGATAGAAGGCAGGAGAGGGGGCAAGAGGATAAAAGGAAAGAGCAGAAAGGATAGTAGAGGACATGGAAGGAATGAAGGAGACCAATACATTTGATTTTTGAATTATTATTAATATTTTGTTCTTTTGACTTATACCCCCTTTCTACTATCGCAAACCTAGTGCTTGTTCTGTGCTGGGCTGGATAAAAGCTGGTTTAAAAAAAGTTACATTTTTGACAAACATATTAATATGTCTTTTATCATTTTATGTTTCAATTCATCAGCACCTTTGCTCCAATCTTTTTATGCTCTAAAATGAAAATATTTATACTTTTTCTGTTTTCACTCCAAAAAAGCTGAAATCATCTCAGAATAATGGACACTATGGCATAATCACACAAGTGAGTAACTTTATGACTATCTGTAGTATTTTAGTCTAATAATAAGTTGCCTTCAAATTTTGTGAAAAAAATTGCAATGCAATCCCAAAAAAAGTCTGGTGCATAGTGTCAGCTCACATCAAAGTGCGTCAGACCGTTGCTATTTCCACACACACTGGCCAGCTTGTAGACACAGTTGCCCTGAAAGTCAAACTTGCGTTCATCAAAGGTGTAGAAGTGTGGATCTCCGCGTGCAGTGCAAATCTTAAAGCTGATTGGGTAACAGCCTCGGACTCCATCTATGACACTGCATATCTGTCCGGTTCGACAGGCAGTCCGCTCACATTGCACCTTTTGTGTTGCTGCATCACACACACACTTCTTGTCACACTTTGTGTCAGCCCAGAACACCTCACCGGGCAGGTAATATTGGCCATCATGGTTACAGCCACAGCCAGTCTCCTTGACAACACACCTGACAAAAAAAAAAGGTTAGTAAGAGAATAAGCATTCCCAGTCCCAGTTGAAGATTTTTCATGACTTCTCCGTCTCCTTTAGAGCAAATGCTTTATGGAGGTGTGATGAAACAATGACTTCACAGACTGTGAACAAATTGACAGCTGAATATTTTGCGTTTTAGTTTTACTTTAATACATCTACCTTAATAATTCCGACTGGTATCTCACAAACCAACAGTCTAATATTATCATGTGACCAGATTAACTAAAGGGGGCAAAGGGAAAAAATGTGATTCCCTGCTTCACCATAATAAAAATGAAGAGCTTCAAAATGATTAAGAATATGTAAACACACACCTTTTAACTAAATGCATAGCATATTAAAACTGCATTAAATAAAAAAGGTTTTACATTTACATTTAAAAAAGGCAATTTACTAAATAACACACCTTTTCATCCAATTATTATCGTAATTAAATAACTAGTATTTAACTAGTGTCCCAGTTCTAGTATACAATGATGAAAAGGCCTGGAAATAGCGGCAGAATTTGACATTAAATTCAAAATGGCCGACTCCCTATTGGGTTTAGGATATGGCTCCAAGAGGCTATTTGTACGTCCTGACATAATACATATACCTGCCAATTTTCATTCATGTCTGGAAAACATGGACACCAGAGGCTGGTTTTTTAAAAGTTTGTAGGGGGCGCTATCGAGCCATTTACATCTAAGATGGTGCCAGGGACGGTCGCCTCGGTGTGTTGGTGCGCTTTGTTTATTCTTGTTTTGTTTGTTAACTCAGTTTTCGGCTCTGA